TTTTAAAGGCTAAAAAAATAATGCATATGAAATAAATTTTGGAAAAAACCAAACACTTAACTCGGTTCAAATCCAAAAGAACGAAGGTCAGTTTATTTCCGCAGCAAAACCCATAAAAACAAAACACCAGCGGCCCAAACAACCCAAAAATCAAAGCCCAATAACCCAACCCTTATCCTCGTTGAACATGTCAACCCCACCCCAAACCCTCCTGAAAAGATCGGAAAAGATCCGACACTCAGAGCTACTCCATCTCTAACGAACACAGCAGATCTGAAAAGATACCCACCGCCCCATCGCACACCACCGTCAAAACTCGGAAATAACACCCCTGAAGAAAAAACGTCGGATCCTCAACCTCCGAACCTAACTCCACAGCATAGACCACTTCTCCGCCATACAGAGACGGCACTCCGCCGTCGATCCCTAACAACGACGATTAGGAGAGGTCAAGAGCGCTGCGACGAAGACCCCAGATGACATCGGCTATTACCAACGGGGATGGATCTACGACTTTAAGCAATAGGCTTCACAGGTAACTTTCCTCATCCCAAATCACACCAAAACTTAAACCCTACCCCCGACCCTTTACATGCACGAACACAACACAACTCCTGAACACCAACCTTCTTTAACCACCAACAACACGAACATATATTTTTTACCCAAAAAACTTAACAAACCTCCTGATCTGTCATTTTTTCTTCTCATTCGGTTGTCAGAGACAAACCCCCAACTTACAAAGGGTTTTGAATTGAAAAAATTGTATTTTGTAAGAATGAAAACCGAAAAAATATAGTCCAAAACACATCAAGGATTAAACACATAGATCTGCAAGATCCGAACGTCTGTCTATTTTTCCACCATGATTTAAACATTAACCCAAAAAAAATTACCCAAATTTTTTGCGGAAACATTAATCAAGCATTTTTTAACAAACATAGTAAATTTTTTCATCATACCGGTTTATCCAGATTAATTTTTGCATGTATCCCACTTAAAATTTATTAATTAGCTTTGAAAAATATTAAAATTTTAATAATAATCTCCAAAAACATATTTCTAATTTTTTATTGCTTTTTCGTTATTAATACATATGATATAATTTCACATCGTTTTTTTTCAAATCACTAATAATGTAGTTTTTAGATATTTATTTAATCAGAGCCCGTTTTTTAGGAAAATCCAGAAATGTCTAGGTTTTTTTATAAAAAAACCCCGTCAATTTTATAAGGCGCAAAAAAATACTAAAACAAAATTTTTGAAAGAAGAATCTAGACACAATTGAAAAGTACAAACCAAGTAATGAGCAACCCTGCGTAATTAAGCAAACATTTAAAATTCAAAACACCCACCCAATACACATCATTTAATTCCAACCACCCACCACCCGCTACTACCATTTAATATTCTTGAACCACTCAAACACTACCCACTCCTCAAGTCTTTAACACATCGGACCTCCCATTCCCAAACACCCAACTTAAATGCTTCGATTAACTCGATCGGTCACAAATTCTCTTTCTTTATAAAAAATCACAAATAAAAATTCAATCGTTTAAAACCCCAACCTACAACAATAATCACAACTTCAAATTCAATGTATTTTATGATACCATGATATTATTTGTTCAAGAATTACAGAGTCAATTGTATTAAAGATTTTTAATATCAAGTGTATTTATTTAAAAAAAAAAATAGTTTGTTTTTCAAAACCGAAATTATTTTAATGGTTTTGAAATTTTTTATAATTTTTTATTCAACCCTTTTAAATCAAAGAAGTCCAAAATTGCCAAATGATGTTGTGCATTTATAAGATAAACCTTCCCAAATCATTTACAATGTGTTACATAGTAGGCAGAATTTATTATCTATTATAATAATATGATGCTATCAATAGCACCGTAAGGGCACAAAAGCTTGTATTATCATTAATTAAAAACAATATAAGAACTGCTAAGGTTAAACGAATTGCCTTGGACATGCCAGCCAATCAGGGGGGTGGTATGTGGTGGAGTTTTATCTGGATAGTTTATTGTGTATCCATCTTACGAATTGCCATGGTAAAACGAATTGCCCTGGACATGCCAGCCAATCGGGGGGGGGGGGGGAGTTTTATCTGGATAGTTTATTGTGTACTGGGTTGTTAACATTTTTTCCTAATATTGGTAATAAATATTCTCCCACCAAATTGCTTAAAATCAAAACAGGTTCAATTTTTAAGCATTTCATATTGCTGCCAAATTTTTATACATGTTTTACCTTAGGCTATTCACCTCAAGTCTGCTTTACTCATAAATCTCTTCCATAAAAAGATTGGCATTTCAGATGACTTATAACAAAGGTTTACATGTAAAATTTGTAGGGATCTTCAAGGATAATTAGTGTTTGGTTCTGAAGACTGCCTACGACATGCCAACCCCCTTTCCCCCTTTTATTTATTTTTTAATTTAAGCATTAAATTGTTGTAATAATAAGATATAGGGTACATTTAGGACAACGCAGGCTGCACCGGGACAGGTAAGAGGTACACTTCTCCATTCAATTATTCAACTGATATTTCGTTCTATACCTTTAAATTATAATGAACTGCAAACAATGACTACGTATTTTTTTTGTAAACACACACTTGCATGGTCCACTAAACTTTTCTATTAGAACACCAAATCGTTTTTTACTCACAATACCATTAAAATAAGTCACATGAAAGCCATCCACAGTAGGCACAGAAAGCAGTGTGTTCTATATTACATTTGGGTAGAACATAAAAACCAAAGTTTTAGGTAACTACACCTCGAACCATACCTTGAACTGTACCTCTCTGAACATAAAACATGTAGGGTTTATACAGATTAGAACTTAGGGTCTTCACGTCAATTATGCATTATTCATTAATCTGGAGGATACAAATATTTGCTTTTTCGCCAAATTCTAACGAAGGTTTACATGTATAAATTGTAGGGATTGTTCAGCGATTTCTGAAGAATACACACTACATGCACCCCCTCCCATTTTTTTTAATTTAATGTTGTAAATGTTGTAATAATTAGATATGTGGTCTCTATGATTTAGGGCACCACAGTCTACCCTGGAACAGGCTACCGGTACGTTTCCCTACGCACAACTTCAACTTATATTTCGTTCTATAACTTTACCTGAAATTAAGTGGCAATCCATGCCTGGTCTATAAATTGTTTTCAAATCACACACTTACATGGATCCATACAACTTTTCGATAAGAACAGGAAATTGTTTTATAATCACATATTTACAAAATCACATTGAAGTATAATTCTTCTGTCTGGTATAGAAGTCTGCAAGCACAGCATAAACTATCAACGTTAGAAGTATAATAATCCAGTGCACATTTTCCAAACGAAAGAGATGCACAAAAACTATTTTGATCACATTTCAATAGATCAACCCAAAAGAGACTTTTTATTCAATTACTGCAATTTTACAGTAGTGAATAATGAACTGGTCTGGGATGTGTGCCTGCATCTTGGAACCCTGAAGTTCAAAAAGATTTTGCATCAAAGTTTTTATAAAAGATGTGGACAAACATAATATGTACGTAAATCATAGAAACCGAATCTCCTCATCATGAAAGACGACCTCCAAAGACTCGGGGAAGCAGTCATGAGCCGGCTCTCACTAAACCCGTATCGCCCTTGCCTTGATTTCCCAAAGCGTTTTGCTTTGGTCTATCTCTCGGAATAGAGACCACATGCGGCTAACCATTTGCCAGAAAAGTTTGTTGTGTTTTTAGCTACCTTGATACGTATGAATGTGGTGCTATAACACTGAGTATGGCTGCTTTTATAACAGGAAAATGGGCCTTCCTAATCCAACCCAAACAGTTTACAATGTTCTTCAACCAATGAGAATTGTTTTTGGATCTGGGGGAAAACTGATTTTCAAAATTTGAATTGTAAATCGTTACAGCAAAGCAAAACCAATAATTGACCTTTCTTTCGTATATTAACTGCTCAACAACCAAACCGTCCAATGAAAATGAAGCACGGTCAGTGGCAAATCCAAATTAAATCTGTACAGTGTCTCAAACGGCCTACTCCACTCATTTCTTGCAAAATTCTCACATATGTGCCCTAACTTTCCGATTTTTACACACCGAACCCCTCAGCCAATAATGTAATATTGCACATTAGACAACACATCTGAAAAGTGACGTTTTTGGGAGGGAAAATTCAGCCCAAAGTTATTTTGCTTTTAGATTATAATAGGTTTTCAGTATTAGTCAAAGTTTACACATACATGGGGGTGGTAATCACAGTTTATATACTTTAAGAATAATATTATAAAAACAAATATTACAAAATCATTTTTAACAAATATTTAATTTCCATAGAAAGGAATAATTCAATACCAATAAAAATAATAAGAAACTTATGTAAAATTTAATCAATAATTTGAAAGCAAAATGATGTTACTGCAAGTCAATTTAAAATCCTACTTCTAGCGAAGGAAAACAAAACTATTTCAAAATCGATTATCACAAAACTATTAACAAATTAATATACAATATATATAACGGGCCGGGCCGGGCCGAGTACCCGGTATTTTTTTTATTTTGGAACCGGCCCGGGTCCTTAAAAAAATTACTCGGACCTACCCGGACCGTTTTATGGCAACAAAAAATGGAACCGGCCCGTTTTGGACCCGAACCGCCATTACCCGGACCGGACCGCGGTTCCAAGACCCGTTTGCCCACCCCTAGATGCTACCATTTCGTTTGCTATTTTCTGTTCAGTATTTATCCTTAAAAATAGCTATGGCATTTGTATAGTAGAGGAGTGAATTAAGGAGAGATTGACACATGAGATTCATTAAGGGTATAATTGTATTTTTTTGAGCTATTTCTTTTCTTATAATTCTTTTCTTATAATATATAAATAGATTCACTATTAAAGTAGTATTCCGTATTCTTTATTTAAGTGAAATAAATACAATCCCAAATAAGACATTTCTTTCTTTGATGAGTAACTCCCAACCCAGGTTTGTTTTTGCCCAACCCCGAACCCACATACAATCCCAAATAAGACATTCCTTTCTAGGGTTGAGTGAATCGTTCGATCTTCTCCGAATCTCCGATTCTCCAAAAGATAACCCACCTCCTATTCTTTTCATCTACCCCTTTTTCCGCCGACAATCCGCTCCTGGTCATCCTCGGGTTCTTCATTCGTAATTCATATCTCATGTCATCTTTTGTCTATGAGTCGATCTTAGGGATGCCTCAGCTGAATATCCCACCCCGTCCTTCCAATCGTTCTATACTTCTATTCTCATCGATCCATCGTAGATGTGGATGAAATGAAGAACTCTACAAATCGACGTTGTCTAGTAAATCAAAATTTCTGATTTGTAAGTACATGTCTCTTTTTCTGCACAAATGTATTTTATTATCATAGACATTTCTTCTGATATATTTTTATTCATTTATCATGAGTTGGAGCACTAATTATTAGTGATTAAGGTGACTTTGTTTTTTGATTTATTTCCCAAGAGTCCGAAGCTTTGGACATAAAATTTATGTTCAGTTTGATTATTCATTTAAGTAAACTGACATACATGCTTATCAGATATGCTGTAATCGTACAAAATCAGAGCATTTTGGAGCATTTTGGGTCATTGAGAAAATTGCTAAGAGCATTGAAAAATGTTTGAATCTGTTCGTGTTTTTTGTTGATGTTTTTGTTAAATTTATAGACCATGGATTTGAAATTGAAATATACATACTTGATTTCTGAGGAGGCATAACATGTACATATGATTTCTAAATGGAGTGGTTTGATTAGAATTTTGATAGAAGATTGTAGCGGAAGTGTCATATTTTGTTATCCTGAATTCCAATTGTTCAGAAAAATTCTCTTACTCCATATTCCGCTATGCCCTATCTTACTCCATATTACTCCAAATTGACTTCTACTCAATTATGAATTAAGTCTTAACAAATTCTGTTTCAAATCAGTCATAACAATTTCCGTTTTAGAATCTTTATCATACAAAAGAGATTTATTTGAAGAAAAAGATCAATATATTGCTTATGTAGCTTACCCTTTAGACCTTTTTGAAGAAGGTTCTGTTACGAATATGTTTACTTCGATTGTAGGTAATGTATTTGGGTTTAAAGCACTCCGCGCTTTACGTCTCGAAGATCTTAGAATACCTCCAGCTTATACTAAAACTTTTCAAGGTCCGCCTCACGGCATCCAAGTTGAGAGAGATAAATTGAACAAGTATGGGCGTCCTCTGCTGGGATGTACTATTAAACCCAAATTGGGGTTATCCGCTAAAAACTACGGTCGAGCGGTTTATGAATGTCTTCGTGGTGGACTTGATTTTACCAAAGATGATGAAAATGTAAACTCACAACCCTTTATGCGTTGGAGAGACCGTTTTTTATTTTGTGCCGAAGCAATTTATAAATCACAGGCTGAGACAGGTGAAATAAAAGGACATTACTTGAATGTTACTGCAGGTACATGCGAAGAAATGCTAAAAAGAGCTTTCTTTGCTAAAGAATTGGGAGTTCCTATTATAATGCATGACTACTTAACAGGGGGATTCACTGCAAATACTTCTTTGGCTCATTATTGCCGTGATAATGGTCTCCTTCTTCACATCCACCGTGCAATGCATGCAGTTATTGATAGACAAAAAACTCATGGTATACACTTCCGCGTACTAGCGAAAGCGTTACGGCTATCCGGTGGAGATCATATTCACGCGGGTACTGTAGTAGGTAAACTAGAAGGGGAAAGAGAGATGACTTTGGGCTTTGTTGACTTATTACGCGATGATTTTGTTGAACAAGACCGAAGTCGTGGTATTTATTTCACTCAAGATTGGGTTTCTTTACCCGGTGTTATGCCTGTGGCTTCTGGGGGTATTCACGTTTGGCATATGCCTGCTCTAACTGAGATATTTGGGGATGATTCCGTACTACAGTTTGGGGGAGGAACTTTAGGTCACCCTTGGGGTAATGCGCCTGGTGCCGTAGCGAATCGAGTCGCTCTAGAAGCATGTGTACAAGCTCGTAACGAAGGGCATGATCTTGCTCAGGAAGGTAATGAAATTCTTCGACAGGCTAGTAAATGGAGCCCTGAACTAGCTGCTGCTTGTGAGGTATGGAAGGAGATTCAATTTGACTTTAAACCAGTGGATACCTTGGATCCAAATGAGAAGAAAGAAAGAGATAATAAGGAGGCTCTTGCAGGAGATAAATAGAGATAACTTCTAACTTAATTCAGAGATAAGGGATGGGTAGAGGGAATTCAAGCAATCACTAACCCCCTTCTCTTCTGAATTGCAATTCAATTTGGCCCAATCTTTTACTAAAATCATTCAAATACTAAAAAAAGTAAACAGATTGAGCCGTCGGATATCTATCCATATTAATGAGCTTATTATTTAGATTTGGTTTGGGTATAGGTAGACGAGAACAAATAGTTAAATTTATAGACCATGGATTTGAAATTGAAATATACATACTTGATTTCTGAGGAGGCATAACATGTACATATGATTTCTAAATGGAGTGGTTTGATTAGAATTTTGATAGAAGATTGTAGCGGAAGTGTCATATTTTGTTATCCTGAATTCCAATTGTTCAGAAAAATTCTCTTACTCCATATTCCGCTATGCCCTATCTTACTCCATATTACTCCAAATTGACTTCTACTCAATTATGAATTAAGTCTTAACAAATTCTGTTTCAAATCAGTCATAACAATTTCCGTTTTAGAATCTTTATCATACAAAAGAGATTTATTTGTAACAGTCCGGAGTCATTTTGTAGAATTACATATCTACTTTGAAAATTGTTTTTAAAATGTTTAATACAGTGCAAAACAACCTATTGCATTAGCTGAACTCATCTTTCAAGCTTTGAGATTACTTAACAATACATTCACATTGATAACCTAATTAGATATTTTACAATCTCAGAGTAGAAAAGAACATCTAGAAATTTGTACATCTTGTTTAATATATATATTTAAACATTTCTACTCTATTTAAAACAATACATTCACACTGTATTGTTAAATGAGTCCTTTTTTTATAGCAATATGTTAAGTTTGTAATGTAATAATTAGATATAGGATAGGATAGAAATAGGAATGAAGAGAGCCCAAATATGTTTCTCGTAAGTCTGACATTTTAGTGATTTAGTTATGCCTGTACTTGCATTTTCATTTATAGCATATAAACCAACGAATGATCAAAACTACTAAATAGTCACATCTTTAGAGTACATGTGTTTGAGAACTAATTATTAGAAAATCATTATTACAAAATATTCATAAAATTCCTAAGCAATGAGTTCCTTAGAAATGTGAGCTCTTGCTTTAAGAAGACATAAATATGAATCTTTAAAACAGAACCTTATCATGAAATATTATTTCTAGTGAATTGGGACCTTCATGAGCAGGCTCTCTGTGCATCCTAACACCCTAACAGCTCTTGCTTTCGTTTCTCTTGTGGTTTTGGAGTAGAGATCACATTTCAACCATTTTGGAAGAAAAAATTCTACAGTTTGCTGTGGGAGTTTGCTGTGGGAGCTTTGTGCAGCAAGGTTTTGGAGTAGAAATCACATTTCAACCATCTTGGGACAAAAAGCTCTGCAGTTTGTTGTGGGAATTTTGTGACACCGCTCCCAATTTAAACTTGGATTTATTAATCCATTAATATTAAAATCTAAGTGAAAGTGAAAATACTAATTTCGATGAGGATAATTTGTCAAAGTCATGAATGTATATTCACTTTGAAAACTAGTTACAAGTATATTAATCATACTAGAAATGATTAATTGATTAAATTAATACTGATTTATTAAATTGTGGGTCGGACCCCAAACATGGGGAGGGACTAACTAAGATATATTCTTGGACCAAGTTAATTTAAATAAAAAGCCCAAGGATAAGAAGCAAGTAATATATAATTGTTCGGGCCGAATGAAAGGTAAATAAATAATATGAGAGATCATTCGAGCCCACTTACTAATAATAGAAATATAAAGGGGTTTGAGCCCGGAATCTTGGAGGGGACTATCCAATACATTTTAGGACCGACTTATTATGGTCTACTAGCCAAAAATCCATATAAATAAATAAATAAAATCCATTTAGGCCCAACCGAGATATATCAAGTAACCAAGGTGGCGTTCTAGCCAATTTACCGAAAATAGCAAGTATAAGATTGAAGGGTTTCCTACACTTTAATTCGGGGTATTCCATATAAAGTGTAAACCATAATCAACGGGAGGATTAATTTGTAAATAGCTTCGGACCGGATTTAATAGAAAGGGGCAGCCCATGAGTACAACCCAACCCACTTAGCCCAACTTTCTAAGGATAGAAAGGATAAGGGGTGGGAAGACTCTCCTCCTCCCATTTGGGAGTCTTGTGCGTGAGAATAGAGAGAGGAGGGAGCTCAACATAAAGCTTCACATGAGCTAGGAACAAGGAGAAGAACAAGGTCAATCCGGAGAAGAAAAGCAGGACAAGGAGGTAGAGTATACGTATTCCTATTAGTTCTTCGTTTATAATTAATATTTCATATATGATTTTTTAAGAAATCATATGTGGGATTAATGAGGATGTTCTACACGTTTAAAAGTGTAGAAATATGATATAAAGTGTTGGTAATTAACTTAGAAGAGTTGTTGAATCGATAGGAATCGAAATCGCCGGAAACCGCCACTTCTAGGTGCTGTTTTCGTGCAGCAGAACCCGAAAGCCGGGCAGCTTTTGCAAAAGCCGGGCGGCTTTTGCCTTCTGCCAGCCAATGTTGTTTCGAATCATTCCCGATCGAAGGTTTAACAATGGGGCTTCAATAGGCAACCTTGCTGGACATAATTAAGGTGAGGATGGCTGACTATATTGCTTATAATCATTGGGTTAATTTCATAAGATTACCTAAGGCGATTAAATGTGATTTTCATGGATTATTAATGATTAATAATGCCTAAATGAAAATATTATTGTCTATGAATAGAAGATGCATGACATACAAATTTATGAGTAAATGATGTATGATTATGTATTATAAATATGACAGCATGATGGTTGTATCAACCATGAATTTTTGTGATAAAATATACTTTTACTTCATGTATAGAAATCATGAATGGATAAAAGTGATATTTTTGATATTGAGATTAAATTATACTTGAATTGGAAACTCAATTGAAATGAACTAAATTACTACAAATTGAGAACTTGATTGTTCTAAGGTTAGTCCGACTAGCATTAAGATACTAGTCGGGAAATTATTGTAAGATTATGCTAGAATTAATCCAAGTGTTGGATTTGTGATATGACCTGAAGTAGTCTTGAGAGATACTTCAAGGTGACTTGATTGATGAATTAGAGTTGTATGAACTCTAGGTGATATTAGGGGTAGGCCTAAATGGCTACTCGAAATGAATTAATCCTAGGCATAAGATAATGTTCATGAATTGGAACATGATGTTGAATTAGAGTCGGACTCTAGGATAACATGGAAATGTAGTTGGGCCGAGCCCTTGCCATGTGATTAGAATAACATGGAAATGTAGTTGGGCCGAGCCCTTGCCATGTGATTAGAATAACATGGAAATGTAGTTGGGCCGAGCCCTTGCCATGTGATTAAGACTTATATGGAAACGTAGTTGGGCCGAGCCCTTGCCATGTAATTGGGTTTGCATAGAAATGTAGTTGGGCCGAGCCCTTGCTATGCAATTGTAATGTATTAAATTTTGAGTTAAAGGATTGCATAGAAATGTAGTTGGGTCGAGCTCTTGCTATGCAATTATAATGTATTAAATTTTGAACTAAAGGATTGCATAGAAATATAGTTGGGCCGAGCCCTTGCTATGCAATTATAATGTGTTGAATCTCGAGATAAAGGATTGTATAGAAGTGTAGTTGGGCCGAGCCCTTGCTATGCAATTCTAACGTGTTGAGTACTAGAAGTGACGTGACTAATGGTCACGAGAACTAGAGGAAATGTTTTCAAGTGAACATGGGCCTGCGGGCCGACTACTTGACTTTATATATAAAGTAAGTATATTTTTAAATAGGGTAACCAAAGGTTATGGCTTATAATCTAATATCACTTTATTTGAGGGTCTTAGAAATTGAAACATTGATTATACTTAGTATAGTTGTCATTGTACTTGTCAAATGCTTCCAAGTACTGACCTCCCCTTCACGGGGGAGGCCACCTCACAGTTTGAGGTAGAAGTTGAGCTTGCTACCAGTGACCATTGCTTCGGGAGAATCAAGGAAGGAAGACGTGGTTCGTGCTTCCTCCGCTTCTGTTTTAAAAACATTTAAATTAATGCTCATGGATATTATTTTTTGAATAATTAATTGGGGGCTTGTAGGCCCATGTTTGCCAAAGTGTGGCATGCACACTTGTATTAAATGTTTCCGCTGTTTTAAATGAATATTTTACATTATGTTTGTTTATGGATGTACTATGTGTGAATGGTATTCAAGACGCTTTGTATAGTATGGATGTGTTGGACTGCAGTTGACTATTCGTACTGTACGGCGGGTTGTTGACGTGTCCAGTAGGTCCGGGGCGTGACAAATTTGCTGTGGGAGCTTTGTGCAGCAAGCAAGTTTGGTGCTGCCATTCTATACATCTATGATTTTATAGCCAAAATTTTCATTTACCTTGGATTAGATATTCAGGCTGATATGTTTTGGTGTGGGAAGAAGCATTTCGAAGGGCCCCTTTTATAGGGGAGAGATTATGATCCAGTTACATTGGCTAGTTCATTCTCAACCAAGTTGTGTTAGGAACTTAGAAACAATAAATAAGGATACTATTCCAGCCACCAATTCCATCCAATAGGATTTCATCTTTCACTATTCACACCACCCACCTTAACCAATAGGAAAAATGTAGTTCAACCAAAGCAAGTAAACTGATGAATCACAGCCATGGAAATAATTAGGCAAGAGGAATAACCGGGATTCACACGATTTTGTTTTTGCTTGAGTGCACAGTGTCATTTTTTTAACCAATTGTAGTCAAGGAACGTGCCAATAAAAAAAATGTCACTGTTTCCTCACTTTTTTTAGGCAATGGGAAGATACATATCAGACATTTTTTAACCCAACAGAGTGTACCTTTTTTACCAATAGCAATTTTGTGTTTTACGGCTTTTACCATGTCAAGTGGTAATTAAATAAATATAAAGACCAAAGCTTGATGTTGACATTTTCGGGAGGGAGTACTATTCACAAATTTCTTTTGCTTTTATATTAGAATAGATATGCAGCTATAGTCTTCTCTAAAGTAATAACTAATAAGAAGTTGTTTTGTTTGTTTCATCTAGAATTTTATAATTTGATACAATGTCATGCGAATTT